GCGAGTGCGAGAGAGAAAACAAATGGATAATATTTCTTTAAGCGATAGCGATTCTTTTTGTTTGGCTCATCGATTGTTGAGTGTTCTGTATTATGTAATATTTCTGATATTTTTTCAAGCTGTAGCGAGAATTTTTCGTCTTGGCCATCGAGTGTCAAGCGTTATGTATATCTATATATATATCGTTACATATTATATATAGACATACTATATACATTAAGAAATGTAAAAAGAATTTGTATAACTTAAGGATAGAAAAACTTAAAAAAAAAATAATTCCCCCACGAAGAATCGAACGTTAATAACCAAGCGCGAGAAGCAGAGACGATACTACTTACGCTAGCGWGYCAYTTGACAAAYRTTCAAWTTTTTCCTTACAATTTTTGTGATTGTGAAGCTGAATAAAAATGCATTTCTGTTTTCTTATAACATAATAAAAATGAATTACAAAAATGTCTAGACAAAAAATAAATTCCACGTTTTTAGAATATCCTTTCCTGAATATTTTGAATTTTAATTTTATGTGTAGATATAAAATTCTTCTTTTTCAAATRTRTATTYAATTYGATACACAAATAAATATTTAGGAGACAGCAAATCTTTAATTTAAAATTTCCTAAAATACATCATTTGTTGACTAAATAATAATAGTTTCTGTTAAAATRAAWTATTGTTTTTCTTTTAATCAAGGTTCACTATTTTTGACAATAAATAAAAAAACGGCATGCCATAAGCATCCAGATTCGATTTAAAAATGCCGCGCTTTTACGCCGATATATATATATAACGATATATATAGATTTACATAACGCTCGACACTCGGTGGCCAAGACGAAAAATTCTCGCTACAGCTTGAAAAAATATCAGAAATATATAATACAGAACACTCAACAATCGATGGGCCAAACAAAAAGAATCGCTATCGCTTAAAGAAATATTATCCATTTGTTTTCTCTCTAGCACTCGCGTTCACGACCGAGAGACCCCAAGATAACGCACACTAGCTTGCTCGCGTGTAAAGACCAACGAAGAGGCGTGGATTNGTGTAAAGACCAACGAAGAGGCGTGGATTGCCCCCTCTTTTACAATTACCTTTCACCTTCATTTTCTCGCTTATTTTTGCAAATACGAAGATACACCTTACAACATTTTTTATGTATTTTTTAATTTAACACAACTTTTGTTTGAAACTTTTTTCGATTAAATGCATAGATTCTAAGATACGGCCATTTTTACCCTTTTTCTCGTGAAGGCCACATCGTATTGCAAAAAAATTAGCACCATTCGATTCAGCGTCGTCGAGTTACCATTATATCAAGTTTTTGGCCAGGTACCAAAAAGTCGTCAGTTTTTCTTTTATTGACTGGAGTAGGCCTAAAAGATAAGACGGCGACGCTTACCGTCTCCTACAGATATATCGCTTTTTTCTTTTTCTGTGAATTATTTAATTTCTTCGAGAAGTATGCCACCGGTTTTTCTTTTTCGTCATTTTGTAATTGTTTTAATACTGCCCCTATACCTTCGAGCGATGCATCGGTATAGATTCTTATAGGTAAATCTTTTTCGTATACTTCCAGCACTGGTTGGGAACACAACAATTCCTTTATTTCCTTAAACGATTTTTTGCATTCATTTGACCATACGAACTTTTCATTTTTTCTCAGTAATTTGTGTAGTGGATCCAGCTTTATTGAGCTCTTTGGTATGTACTCGTGATAAAAGTTTTTCTTTCCTAGGAACTGCCTGATTTCTGTGTTTTTGGTGTTGGAAAATTTTGTATTGCTACTAGGTTATCTTTCACAGGCCTAACTGAATTGTTTTGAATTATATGGCCGAGGTATTTCACAGAGTCGGCAGCGAATGTACATTTTTTAAATTTCAATCTTAATCCTTCTTTTATTATTGTATCTAGTACTTTCCTTATATGGCTTATGCTTTGTTCAAAAGTCTCTGAATAAATTAGTATATCGTCGATATAATTTACTGAAAATTCTGCTGTTTCATGTTTTCTTAATATGTTACTTAATATCCTCTGAAAGATAGCCGGCGCTGTCTTTAAACCAAATGGTAGGCAGGTCCATTGATAATGTCCCTCTTGCGTTATGAATCCTGTTTTCTTTCTATCCTCTATCCTTAGTGGAATTGACCAAAAGGCAGAATTGATGTCTAGTGTTGTGAAATATTTGCAATCCTTTGTTCTGGCTATTAGGTCTTCCATTAGTGGAAAAGGTTGAGCTTGTGGTATAACAATTTTATTCAATTCTCTGAAATCGATACAGAGTCTGGATTTTCTATTTTCTTCTTTTTTGAATGCTAAAGTCACTGGGGCAGCAAAAGAATTATAAGACTCTTCGATTAGCTTCTCTTTCAGCAATCTTGACACTTTTTCCCTCTATCTTCTTCTTATCCTCAATAGTACACCTGTATGGTCTCTTGCTGCAATACTTATCTACCGATACGTCTATTCTAGCTTCATAATCCTTGACTGTTCCTATATCATACTTGTCTTTGGCAAACACCGTTTTGTAATCTTTTATCAATTTGTGTATCTCAATTTTTTTCTTCCCATCCAAGTGGTCTATTTTTATCTTGAAGTCATTTTCATCAACATGTTCATTGGAATTTATGGAATATACCTCTGTCTTGTTATTTCTAGGATTCATTTGCTCCCCGTTTTGCTTTTGTGTATTTGTTTTCCTTTTATGAGATATCTCTAATTTTTCATTTTGGATTAGCTTGAATGTTTCTATCATGTCCAATCCTATTATGAAATCTTCTACACCTTCTTCTTCTATCAAATATACGTCAATGTTCTTTTCTGTTTGAATAAATTACGAGTTCGGAGAGATGCGCTAAGAGAAGAATAGGAGACTGAGAAAAAGAATAGGAGATGGACGAGATAGGCTAGTGGACTGTATAAATGAGGAATTTACTGATAGAGTTTATGTGTAACAAGGTTTATTAAAAGTTTGCGAATATAAAGGGAGATAACAAAATTATAATATGATACAAAAAAATAGTAACAGATATATTACGCCACGTGTACCGAATATCACGCCACGTGTACCGGAAGTACGTAGCACGAGAAGCCGTTAGAGAAGGTAATAATAAATGTGATATTGAAAGAGATGGAAATGATCAGAAGAACAAGGCTAAGAT